ACAAGTGGCTCATAACCCGACGACTACGCTACGCATTCAGCTTGTACAACCTAAGGATAGGGTTGGCTATTGGAACGAAAAAGAAGTGAAGAAGAAGAGGTTTCGAGCACCGGAATATTTCGTCTGTTGTTCAGAGCTTTCGCATTCGTTCAGGGGTAGTCTATAAGTAGTAGTGGCATAGAAGTATAGTGTGGAAATAGTCTCGGATTACATGTGGCGCTTGTAATGCCGTATACTGTGGTCGAACCGGAAAATCGGCCTCTACACGCCTACATGAACATCAGTTGGCAGTAAAGGGGCGAGACCACTTATCCCAAGTCGCCATATACACTCCTGAAGCACGGCACACATTTGCTTGGGATAAAACACGCATTAGCGGTTCCTGTCCACATTATAAAGGCTGAGAATTCCTAGAGGCTATTCACTCTGATGATTCATGCATCAATCGACACGTCGATCTTGACGCCATGTACACAGATCCCAAAAGGTGGAAAAGGTAATGGCCAATCAAGACGTGATATCAGTCCACAGCATTGACCCATCCTCAGCCCTGACAAAGCAATATCGATTTTTTGGATATGTTTAAATCTTGACTGTTTCTTTGCGCTTACTACACGTCTGACGACGAGTTGGAGAACCTGACTGGAACATTTACGAAATAATATTTGTTCATTTACCCAAAAGAATCATTCTTTTCGACTATATACGTATCCATATGTAGAATGTTTTTACCGACAAAGGCGCCAATTTAATTTAGAATTAGGCCCAAACCGCAAGAAGCTAAACTCAGACGAGCAGAATTAGTATGTATGGTCTGGTTGTGACTGTCAAACTGCATGAAGTGGGGCGTGTGTAACGCACCGCAAATCCGGAGTCCGTCGGAAAGTCAATTACATTGTTCTTTACCACTACAATTTTGCGTTCTAAGCTACTGACCAGGGCCGTTAACTACTGATACCTGAGGAATCGCTGACGCCTTTTTATCACCCAGAAATTCCAGTGAACGCAGTTACCCCGCCTTGGTGTTCGCCAGGCAAGGATGGTCAACTCTCCGTTGATGGTTGCAGTTCTTCGTCTGGAACTCAGTTGTAAGTCGTAGGCGGAATTTCTCACGCCATGCTTTTGTGTTTACGCTAGGTTCTTAAACTGCACGCCAGGGGTATGATTGATGGCCGGGATTGCCTACTCCGGGGATCATTTGTTTCGAGCAAAACTGTTAAACATCTGAGAACTTTATGGTATCACATATTTCTATCCCCCATATTATCAACAATTAAAAGCGGATCTCTATTTTCACCACTGAAAACAAAAGTATGTACGTTTAATACCCCATTCTAGGCATTGTCAAAAAGGCATGGCCTTGTCGTATTTTTTACTGCGATGACTGCCTTAAGGCCTATCGAGCATGGGTTTTTTTTAGGTCAGATATGGTTATGTAACCGCACCTAAGATAAACAAACCCCAGCCGCCTGTAATACGGGACTGATGGTATTAGGGGTTTTAACCGGTGAGGCCGGGCGGCTATTGGTAATGCGCCGTTGTATTTTGAGTGGTTGAGAAATAGCTGCCATAACAGTATTGTGTCCATTAGGTTCGGCTGCATAACCACATCTTACCCATTTTATTTCTTCCTCTGGCACATATAAGTGAATTTCGCAAGTTACTCTCTTACAGCACGATTGGTCCTCGGAGTAAGTAAGTCCGACCACAAACCATATCCTCGCCAACTGCGCGATGTACATCTTCTCTAGAGCCAAGTAGTTATTCCTCTCACACCCCTATGTGTCACTCCCCCACATCGTACCGCTTCCTTCTCACAGCCTACACTTGGCCGAGACTTGCGCATATCATGATGGATGCGTCACAGATATCACGAGTAACTGAGAGGCCGCAGGTTGCGGAGCCGAACAACATACTTCTTACGTGAGAGGTGCCGGCTACGGCTGTGGATGTGGGAGTGAATGTGTGATGCATATGTTGGTGCAAATAATGTATGGTGATGTGGTCAAGTCTGCGGAAAATTACCGCAGACCTTCATGGAGGCGCATGTGGCCAAACTGATTCATGTATAGAGGAGATGTGTGTGTGTGTGGACAGTGGAGGCCGACGCGGCGATCGTATATTGAGGTACTGTGTCCCAACAGGTATCACTACAAAACCAAAAGGTTTCCGAGAAACGGATTTTGTTGCTTGATACCAGTAGTCTGTTCTCCATACGTCTACGTAGCAGAGTTAACAGCAGAGTTTTAGAGACTTCGAGCGCACATGCGACTGTTACCAGACGCCGGTAGAAGTCTGTGGTGAGCGCTGGCCAGATGCCCATGATGGTCATGTCACTGCCAATAGAAGCGAAGAGACGAGTCACAGAAAGCAGTCTTGAAGAAGGAGACACTATCGTTGGGACAAGACCTTTACTAGCCTGGCGTTGAGGATTCCTACTCGAACAGATGATCAGAGACAAAAGCAGATACGGGTGGTTCGTGCACAAGGGGCTGCAGTAGTTATCGGATTCAGTCGCCACGCTACCGCATACGTATGAACATTCACGGCTCCCCACTTTCATCCGGGATCTTCGCCCTTGGTATGCTAATTGTTTGATGGCCGGCATTCGCGTCGTTAATTGCTGCAATTTCATCCCGCGTGTTGGATGTTGGTGTAATGATTGCTCGACCATCTGACCCACCAACCCTGGATTTGGGGAAAGTGTTTTCTTGTGCGCTCCGCCAGTGGCTAATTACTCAGCCTAGGCGAAATCTTAGCACCAAATATGGAAGGGGAAGGTCAGTGCACTTGTCAATGGACTGGGCGCCAGTAAACCATGATTCTAGTAGCCCCCGGCTCACGCGGTGGTCACTTCTTGCGAACTAAACTAGCTAATAAGGAGCGTGTACCGGCAATGGCGACGACAAGAAGAGCGGCGGACGCAACACGCGTTGACAGAATAGGACTAGCAGAGGCAGATCTCCCACTTTTGTGGAATGTCCCGCAGCTCACCCAAGCATTCTGAGACAGCTGATTGAATCCTACGAATGGCATTACTGTGCGCCTTTTTGCATCTCCTTTTTGGCGTATAGTCAGTTCAGATTACTCATAATGCAGTTGAGCAAACAGTTCCATCTGACAAGGAAAACTGTGGACTCAATAAGGGTTAACAAGATAGCGGTGTGGGGTTTATGGAGGCACCGCCCTCGCTTTCCCGGAATATCCCGCCACTCAACCAAGCATTCTAAGACAGCTATTTAAATCCGACGAATGGCATTATTACTGCGTACCACTTCTTTTTGCAGCTGTCTCTTTTCTCAACTTGTCACTTCAGATTAGTTTTAGTGTTTTTAAGCAGTCCGTTCCGTCTGAAAGACGCGCATTTCACTTAGTTCTCTTTGAGCGCAGACTCAGGTGCGAGTTAACAAAAGGAAGTTTAGCACTGGCGTCTGTATTTAGGGCGCCTTTCCACGTTAGCAGAGAGGAGAGACTGAGAGATGGTTACAAGTGGCCTGCGAATAGGCAAGTGGGGTGTGTGAAAGTCGCATTTTATGCACCAACCTAAAGCTCCAAAAGTTATCTGACACCATAGGAGTGTGTCTCAAATTGTTGACTTTTTATATAGGAAAGTTCACACAGCCGGACGTTGGTAGGGTGTTTGGAAATCTACTCAAAGTTATAAAATCTACAAATGATCTGAATAAATCGAGGTAAAGCGGGATATTTTCCGATATGGTTGGAACTGAATTTCGACAAGATCGGCTGCAATGAGATAAACAAAGTCAAGAACAATCAATGACGGTAGGATTTCGAAGCGTGGACAAAGTGAGCGAAGGAGGTGGAGATGGGAGTGGCGGTTCAGTAGTGCAGAGTATCGCCCACATATTTATGGAAATGTTGGAGTGCTCGGTTCTGACGTATCTACTACTGTCAGCCAGTAATCGTTAACCTGTGCCTCGGAAGAATTCGATTCTGTCAGTACATTATAATAAAAGCTCCAACAGCGAATCAAACGTTTACTCTATTTTGGCTGCCATCGGCAAAACATGTGTTCTTGCGGGACTGACCTGCCCTGGATAATTCTGATTACAAACACTGTCATCATGTAGTGCCTACCTACTCACACCAACCCCAATCCCACGGAAACCACATCACATCAGCTGACTGTGAATGCTGAGAAAATGGTATGCCAGGAGTCCTTTGTTGGTAATGCATGACCAACGGTCAGACTTCACGTGGTTTTCTCGTAGAGGTCAATTAGGGCCAAAAATAACTCAAGGAGCCGTCTTTACCTGAGCTGTACCGAAGAAGACATTCGAAGCATCGTTTTCCATCTCCCATACTACGCCCAGTGACCAGACAGTCTGGATAGATGATTTGTTACCTTACTCCTATTGTCCGGCGTGCCATGGAACACGGTTATAACTACTGCAATCAGCAAGTACTCCCGCCTCCTTCATGCGGCGGGACACCAATAAAGGCCAATCTGCACTCAACGACACAGCAACTCAGCAACTGTATTTCGTGAAAGGCGTATTTCAATGAGAAGTTCGTAGCCTCTAAAGCTCCAACCGGAATTATAGCTGGAGTCTTGGATATCGACAAGTCACTCAAGGTAAACAGAACTTGCCTAAGTCGGTAGAACCAAGAGGCTTGCAAATTATAGCCTAGCTTATTTGTCCGGCGCCTCTAAATTAATAGCTGCAATTAAGAGCAACATACGCCTGCGAGTAAAGGATCTACATAGTTAGACGGTAGTGGACTTGTTTCCTTTGCATATTTCATTAATGTCAGCGCTGCCGGATCAAAAACTACAAAATCATAAATTTTCTTATTTATCTGAGTGCCAAAATGGTAGTAATCGTCAGAATACAAAAAGACTGAATAAACATTAGGTCGGCATGTTCGAGATAACAAGCATACCCACCTACTGATCAGTATATATATACATAAATGTACACAGAAACATAAGAAGGAGATGTGAGTGAGGACAGGTTGGGGTTGAGGAAAGACGATTATCAAGGAAGGCTGCGGTGAAGGCCCATCCGGTGCTCCCATAGCCACAGAACCATCCTGGGATTTCCCATTGTGTGGCATGCGATTGCGCTGTCAAGCCTAGAATGGGAAGACGGGATAGAGGATATGAACACGAGTTGGACCAATAGTTACCGGACGGAAAGAACGATTTCATGAGATTAACAAATCACAGCAAAGCATGAACTAATATCATAAGCTCTCTAGAAGACAACGGGAGCCTTGCCTTGCACCGAGAAAAAACGATGAGGAAGAGGCACGCATCAACAATCTGAAGTGGCAATTTGAATGCAAATATCATGGTGTAGAACTTACTTAATCCGACATGTCCTGGCGGACAGCATGAAGCGATCCTCGTGTTCCGGCTGGACATTCAACTTCAGTGCGAGGAAGCCTACAAAGACATCGTCGAAACGCAGATAGGCCACATGGTCGGCCTCCAGAGCCATCAGATGGATGAGTTGCATTGAAGTGACGTAGGCACCCGCGGCAGGGTAGGGTGGCCAGTGACTCCAGGGGTAGTCAGCCAGCGAGACGTACCACTTGGAGAACCAAGCCCGATGGGGTGATCCCTTCTCGTACACGTGTCCCAGCAACTGGTATGGTTGCCCAGCCAACAACCGGCGTCTACGTTCCAGCAGCTGAGAGAGCAGTCGGGGATTCGCGTAGTAGTCATCGTCCAGAGAGACCACAAAGTTGGCTTGTGGACAGTACGTACTGGCCCATTTAAAGCCCATGATGGCTTTGTAAGTATTGTTGTCATAATGATCGATGAAGTCCTGTTGAACTATCCCGCCATAGATTTGCTGCTCCTCGTCGATGTCTAGTCATAAAAAGGCATATTAATTAACAGCAGGGTGGTTTGTTGAGTAGTCTGTTATTTAACGGTTGTTGTGCGCTCGCAATACTGTAGCGGGTGACCCGAACCGCTGCAGTCATCAGTTTATTTGGAAGAATGTTTGACGAAGATGAAAAGAACCAGGTGATGGTCACTGATCCCAGTCAGCAAACACGGACGTATTGACTTCCAGTTCTGTGTCGCATTGGAGTCACTCAAAACTCACTTGAAGATATTTCGGTTAGACGTCAGTTCTAGTGCACATTCTTCCTATGTTGCCAACCAAAGTCCTTATCGATAGAGGACGGGCTTGATGACTTACACACCGCTCATCCATACAACACCGTGGCCATGGCGAAGAAAGAACTAAGAACTATTTTGGTCATTATCATGTCTCCCTTGATTATCGCTCCACACCACGCTCTATAGCACTTCACGAAAATGGTCAAGTTCATATTTCGCAGTCGTACCTGTTAGGGGTTAGGGTTATGGGTTAGGGTTAGTTGTTATGGGTTGGGGTTGAGGACTGGGGTTAGGGGTTATTGCTTAAGGTGAGGGGTTGGAGTTACGCAGGGGCTTGTCTACTGCGGGTACGACTACGAGATAAGATCCGACCCGAAAATGCAAATTTCGAGTCCAGCGGCGTTATTTGTTTCGGCGGAGGGTATTCAGTATCGAACCCTTTTGCCGTGATTCAGCGAGCGGTGAGAGGCGGAGGAGACATACACGCACACAGTGCCGAGCATAGTTGTGATGACGACGCCATCGATTTATCTGCTGGTCCGAGAGTGCGCGCCTTGCCATAATGACAGGTTGAGTATGCAGATCCTGATCATGCCTTCCCTCAAGGACTCGGGTGGAGGAGTTTGGATTACCGCCTACGTCTTTCTCAAGAAGGCGATGAAGCCATGTTCTGGAAGTCTAACTACTGATGTCAGGGGGGAGCAAATGATACCTAAATAGAAGCTTCTTCTCTACACACGTGCATAAGAGCCCCTTTTCAACTGGCATTGCATAACCATACTTATTGACGTGTAGGCCTTTCATCATACCAAATATGCGGGTAGCGGATGAAATACCTTCACTCTCCATCGACTCCAGAGAAAAGTGTATCGTGTATATATTTTCCCCAGTTGACCTAATAAGAGAACTTTGCGCCAGTTCGCTGACGATCGCAGCTGCTCTTCCTTTCTGTCGGTAGTGAAACAGGTCAGATGTGGTTATGTAGCCGCACCTGAGGGAAACAAACTCAGCCACCTGCAACACGGGACCCGTGGTAATAGGGGTTTTTACAGGTGGGGACGGGGAATGCACAGGCAACGAGGTTGAGTTACTGTATGCAAGAGAAAAGCTATTGGGAGGTAATTACCCCAGCCCTAATGCCTAACCCATAACCCTAACCCTTAACTACAACCCCTAACCATAACCCTCTAACTCAAAACCTTTGACCGAAACCCTAACCCTTAACCGCAGGCCTAGAGCCTGACTCTGAAAAATCCAACGCAAAATTCTGAAGGAGACGGCAAGCCGGAAGTCAAGAAGGCCACCTGCATTGGCCCGAAAAGATAGACACGAATACACAGATACCTGCAGGAGCGCTATTGTTCTCGTGTCGTAGGACATGCTGTTTTGAGAGAGGTAAGGAAGGACGGGGTTGAGAGTGGGACGACCGGAGTGTCGAGACACAAAAGCCACAGTTGGGTTAACCCAACTAGTTAAAGAGGTTCCCAGCGTGTGGTTACCGCGCGCAGCAGATCTTCGAAAAGCCGCAGAAGGGAGAACTGGGTGTCACCAGCAAAGGACTGAGCGATGAACCAGGCTCATGGAACAACCCACCAATTCCAATCACATAGAAGTTTGGCCATCGTTACAGATGACGTCCATCATTTGTCAGATGCCGTTACCGTGTACACCAGATGGCCACTTGCATGCGAATAAGTGTTTAGTAATAGCACACTTGCACCACGCCTACCAAACTCCCCTTTCATCACCCACCTGACTTAAGTGGGAAAAGATCGCAGGTGGGCTTGGCCGACAAGTTTAAACGGCCCGTCAGCACATGTCAAACACGCCTGGTCCACGCAGGCTGAACCACCATTTTACATAACCATAAAAGAGACGGCTGAGATCTCAACTGAGCGGGGGGCTACCATGGGGAGTCACATTAGGACGGAGTCGATGCCATACGACAGTTCGACCGTCGTTACAGTCTATGTCCACTGTGTGACTCATAGCAGGGTGCGAGTTGGGACGGTGACTTGCGGGTGAATTCGCTTAGACTGGTGGCCGACTTGCGCAGCACTTGTCACACTCTTTTTTTCTTTCTTCCCCACCTGGGCGCGATGTGATGGCATAGTTAAGATGGTCAGAGGCGGGAGAGGGTGCAGGTGGCTGGCAGGATAAACTCACGCATTTAGGCGTTTCACTGCATCCGCTGGTCCAAAACGTACTCTGGTCAGGTCTTTGCATAACGAGAATGGTGGACAGTTCGGATCTCAATTAGTGCAGAGTGAGTCGGCAACTGGACTTACTAACATACCCCACTGTTGGCATTTGATAGGAGTGTGCTTCCCCAATGACACCTGTCGGATTCCGAGATATTCTCTGGGTTGGTTAAGCGCACCCAACAATTTCGCACACATAATCAAACACATACGTAGAATAAGTAATTACACAAGAAAGCTATAATAGTGCGTGACCCCCTACAGTACGTTTCCTCTTTAATAAGTGCTTCATTACTGCACTCGGGTTACGGATCTCGGAGTACTTTGTATTTTTGCACTGCGAGACCCAGTAAAACTCTGACACTTTTGGCCGTTTCTTTCGCGTTCCTAAACAATACTAATAGTTTTCTATCGTAAACGTGAGAACATGCGCTTCACTATGCACTGAGGCCATTTCCACTGTCTTTGCTCGCTTTTAGACTCCGCTCATCGATTATGAATGCACGGCAGAACGCCCATATAGATACTGATATTTTGTTGAAACTTTTAATGTTTTGCTCGTTCTATTTCTTAATAAGGTAAGCACAGAAACTGAACTGGAAGTGGTTTATTGGAGATTCGACGTTTTGAGTAGTTGATTCGTCTACCCATCTTTAGAGACCGATAAGTCCTGCACACAGCTTCCCTTATATGGCGCGCTGTGTTTAGTGCGTGAGCCGCCAATGCCGCCTGTGTGGCTGCATCCAACCCGCATGTCACCGTGACCTGAATCGCCCCCGTCGGCCGCGATGATGACTAACGGCCCCGATTGTCCCGCGCCGTGACTGTCCCCCGCTAAGAAGGTTCGTAAAGTCAGATAGGGGGAGGCAAATTGATGTGGCGGTTGACAGAGCAGTCAGTGGACGTCCAGGCTTCTTGCACTTGCCTTGCTGTGTGATCACCGCCCCGGCTCATAATCTCAACGGCGTCAAAGTTGAAGATATGTCCCATTTGCGCGGCATGGTTGCTACCGCCACGAGTTTGACTGACTATGCTCTTCGTTCCGTTTCTTTGGCTGCCTTCGGCTCCGTTCAATGAATGCACGCGGATAGCCGTTGGCTCTGAAGAGATAAAGCTTCTAACTGAACGCAGCCGAAGGCAGCCACAGAAACGGAATGAAGAGCATAGTCAGTCAAACTCAGGACGGAGCATGCCGTACACTAAAGGGGTCTCCGAAGCTGTGGCTAGATCCCTCGCGCCACTCGGAACAGGTGTTGCCCACAGGCCTGACTCAACAATCCGCCGGCAAGTAATGCGGCCGAAAGATCCGATCCCTAAGCAGGAGATGTCAGCCGTTGTCTACCAACTTCAATGCAGCTGCGGAAGTTGCAACTACGTTGGGGAAACCGGCCGACGGCCGCAAACGCTAATGCACGAGCATAAGTTGGCCGTGCTAAGGTTGGACCCAAAGTCGGAGGTAGCAACCCATGCCGCGCACATGGGACTCATCTTCAACTTTGACGCCGTTGAGATTGTGGGTCGGGGCAGCGATCACACAGCAAGGCAAGTGCAAGAAGCCTGGATGTCCACCGACCGCTCTGTCAACCGCCACATCAATTTGCCTCCCCCTATCTGACTTTACGAACCTTCTTAGCGGGGGACAGTCACGGCGCGGGACAATCGGGGCCGTTAGTCATCACCGCGGCCGACGGGGGCGATTCAGGTCACGGTGACATGCGGGTTGGATGCAGCCACACAGGCGGCATTGGCGGCTCACGCACTGAACACAGCGCGCCATATAAGGGAAGCTGTGTGCAGGACTTATCGGTCTCTAAAGATGGGTAGACGAATCAACTACTCAAAACGTCGAATTTCCAATAAACCACTTCCCGTTCAGTTTCTGTGCTTACCTTATTAAGAAATAGAACGAGCAAAACATTAAAAGTTTCAACAAAATATCAGTATCTATATGGGCGTTCTGCCGTGCATTCATAATCGATGAGCGGAGTCTAAAAGCGAGCAAAGACAGTGGAAATGGCCTCAGTGCATAGTGAAGCGCATGTTCTCACGTTTACGATAGAAAACTATTAGTATTGTTTAGGAACGCGAAATAAATGGCCAAAAGTGTCAGAGTTTTACTGGGTCTCGCAGTGCAAAAATACAAAGTACTCAGAGATCCGTAACCCGAGTGCAGTAATAAAGCCCTTCTTAATGAGATACCTTATTAAAGAAATTTTTCTTAATGATAGAAGGCATATTCGTTGTTGACTTTCGTTGTGGACAGCCATTTTTGCGAAACTGAAGTTTGATGTTTGAATGTGTCTTCAGATGTGACCCAAACGACCATCTTCGTGAAAAGGAGCGTCCGAAGGCTCACTAATTCAATATATCCTTTAAAGAATAATCTTATTTTAAAGTTCTATACAGACAGGAAATTCAGAACATTTTTTTATGGACCATCGGGAGGAAACACTGAAAATCTTGAAGTATTTAGCAACATTTCGAGGCCGATCTGAAACTCAGCGTAATCCAAAAGAAGTGTGTAAGTTAATTTAACGGAAGAAAAGTCCTTTTTATAAACACAAAGTGGTATGTTTACTATCACAACTGTCAGTTCTATTAAAATTTATTAGGCAACGATCGGCCTGATAGCATGTCACCTTATGAAGTCTTTTGTTTTTTCGAAGTTCCAACCGGTGAAATCGAGCAAAATCCGGTTTCTCTTGTCTAACCCACCTCATTTAATTCAAACGAGTCAAGAATACCATGAATCCCTGGAAAACTGTTTTGGAATCTACACTCAGAATGTAGGCAGTTGACAAACCGTCATACATGAAATCAAACTAATTATTTAACGATAATTAGATGTCAACTTCATCAAAACACTATTATTAGACGTTATTGTATTTTTGCTTTCATATTTACTACGTTTTTTGTATGAGAATACATTCTAGACATCTGAAAACGAAGTTTACTAAAATGGAGCCATTTCTGACGTTTTTGGAATATTGCGCTTTTCAAAAAGTCGGCATTTCTAAACAACGCAAAACTGTTTTTAATATTTCTTTTATACTTTTAATTATTTTTTACTTGTACTTACTTGACATAGACATTTGACTTATGAAATGGTGTCGGTTTGCGAGTGATTGGCTATCATTCGCAAATTTCGACACATTTCATGAGATAGGTAACGCACTGTAAATCAAACACTGTTTATGGTTGAAAGGAAAATAACAGCCACTTTTCTTGAAAATGAAGTTTGATGTTTGAGTGGGTCTACACATGTGACCCAAACGACCATTTTTGTGGAAAGGAGCGGTCGAACACTCACTAATTCGGTAAATGCCTTCAAGAATAATCTTATTTTACAGTTCTTAGCAGACAGGTAATTCAAAATCTGTCTTTATGGACGATTGGGTGAAAACACTGTAAATCACGAAGTATTCAGCAACCTTTCGAGGCCGATCTGAAACTCATAGTAATCCAAGGCGAACGAAATGTGTAAATTAATTTAACGGAAGAAAAGTTCTCGCTATAAACACAAAATCACATGTTTACGATTACACCTGTCAGTCCTATTTAAATTTATTTGGCACTAATCGGCCTGACTGCATGTCACCTTAGGAAACCTTTTTTTCCTACGACTTGTTCATCGGTGAAATCGAGCAAATTCCAGTTTCTCTTGTTGAACTCCAAGTCATTTAACCCAAACGAGTCAAGAATACCAGGAATCCCTAGAAAACTATTTTGAACTCTACACTCAGAATGTAGGCAGTTGACAAACCGTCATATATGAAATCACACTAATTATTAAACGTTATTTAGATGTGACCTTCACAGAAACATAATTATTAGTAGTTATTGTATTTCTTCTTTCGTATTTACTACGTTTTTGGTATGAGAATACATTCTATCTATCTGAAAACGAAGTTAACTTAATTAGAGCCATCTCTGACATTTTCAAAATATCGCGCTGTTCTAAAAAATTCGGCATTTTAAAACAACGCAACACTGCCATTAATATTTCTTTTATGCTTTTAGTTCATTAAAACTTGTACTTAATTAAAATGGACATTGGACTCATGAAATGGTGTCGGTTTGCGAGTGATTGGCAATCATTCGTAAATTTCGACACATTTCATGAGATAGGTAACGCACTGTAAATCAAACACAGGTTATGGTTGAAAGGAAAATAACGCAAAGTAGGCCAACTCACCTGAGTTGTTTCCATGTTTGTATGCACCAAGGAGGAAGACGACGGGTATATTGAGTTCACTCATCTAATCACAAACAAAAAGGTGGAAAACATTACTCCATGATTAAGGCAAACATATTCCCAACTTCGAATAAGCCGCAGGCACTTCGACGCTGCAGACAATAGGCAGCAGGGAAGCTTCTGCAGTTCAAGGGAACCACACGCACACACACACACACACACCACACATTGTACCTGTTAATTCCTACTGGGTATCATCGCTTGCATGCGAGTCTGGAAAATTTTTATGAAGACGAAGGTTATGGGAGTGTAGACTCCTAGGGCATATTGTTTGACAAAATTGCGTTAATATGATCGCACCACTCCCGCGAAAATTCTCATACGGGACCATAGAACTTCAACACAACAATTGTAGCTATAAACTAGAGGGGTTTTAAAAACCTATAGGAGTTTTTACGATTTGCTGCATGTTCTGAGTGTCGCCGAGGTCGAAAATCAACGTATGACTTAACCATGGACTGTAGGTAAAGTGTGCAAAAATAACTGCATTTTGAAAAGTCACATTATACAGTACTTTCAGTGTTCCCCCATGATCGACAAAATTTCCTGTTAAGATGTGATTATGTAGCCCCACCTGATGGACACAATACTGTTCGGATTAGGGATTACGGTTGGAGGTTAAAGTTAGGGGTTAGAGTGAGACTTTGAATTTGAGATTAGGGGTTAGGGTCAGGAATTAGGGCAACTATTTCTCAACCGCTCAGACTACAACCGCGCATTTCCTATAGCTTTCCTTTCGCATACAACTACTTTACCTCATCGTCTCTGCGTTTCCCGGCTGCACCTGTAAAGAGCCCTATTACCACCGGTCCCGTAATTCAGGTGGCTGTGTTTAGTTTACTTCAAGCGGGGCTACGCAACCACATCTGACCAATTTCTTAACCAGTACGCCCAGAAGGAAAGTCTTATAAATCCCTCATCAAAATACAGTGTACATAGGCAAATATTAAGAATCAACTGGAAATAAATCCAAAGATATTCCTTAGCAAGATTGCTCAGCAGTAATGTGGCATATTATCCAGTATAAATCGAACTTGAATTATAGAATATAACGATTCACTCAAATTGCGCAATGTTAGTATATTTCAAGGTTTCGTCGGGTAAATTGGTTGCAAGGCTAGATCAAAACGGTTGATAAGATGCGGCACGGGTTTTAACCTGTCGTACAGACCCGCATAGGCATAAAATGCACGTTTTTGCACCACCGAATCTCCCCCAAGGCAGAGGGTAGGGGATTCATCGGCTAAACGGGCTGCATTTCATACGACAGCCAAAGAAGCCGTATCAAATGTTGACTCCGGCAGAAGTGAAGCCTCTCTCTCACTGACCTTAGCTTCTGTCCTTTGGTGGACAATGGCGTTGCCCTCCTCCAAAGTGCGACAGAATAAGACTAAGGCTGCGTCGAGCTTACCCTCCCCCCTCATCTCACCGAGCCATCAAATCGTCTGGGGTCCAAAACGAGATTAGGCTAAAAGGACTGGTGATAGGATAGGGCACACGTCTACAGTCACTTCTACGCTCAACAAAACGCGACTGAACTCCCACAAATCAATCGAACCAGGCTTTGCATCACCGAATCGCCCACATCGGGAGGTTCGGCACATTGGCTAAACTGGCTGGACTTCATACGACAGCCGAAGAAGCTGTCTCTAATTCAGACTCTGGCAGAAGTGCAGTTTCTCTCTTTCTCTCTCTCTGGGTTGAGCTTCTATCCTTTGGCGAACAATAACCTTGACCTCATTCAAAGTGCGACACACTTCGGCATTTAAACCAGCTGTCAAGTGGAGGAGAAGGGTGACTTGGAGGATGGCCTCCAGCGAAACCAAAAAAGTTTCAAATTTGACTCACAAAAGATCACACGAACACACCTAATCGAAATAACTTTACCCAGGATGAGATGGTTTTGCCATAAGTGCCAGGAGTTTATACGCATTTACTTCGACATAGTCATGCTGTCGAACAAGAAACTACTTCTAGGTAGGTAATCGCTTGCATAAAATCGGGGGCTGGACAGCTTCAAACAACTGCCAGTTAGATGCTGGCAAAGTTATTTAAGAGATTGAACTGGTCGGTATTCGAGTAAGAGTTATTTGCATCAAGTGGTAGACTTATCTGCGCGCTAGTGGAACAAGTGGAAATTGAGCAAGCCTTTCTAGAACGGAGCATACTTTGTAAATTTGACCTAATGATTCATGAGCCATGTTAACTTCTGTAGATTGTAGCGCCAATCCGTCTCCCTGTGGAAGAAGAAGAAGAAGGAGAAGAAGAAGAAGAGGAGGAGGAGGAGGAGGAAGAAGAAGAAGAAGAAGAAGAAGAAGAAGAAGAAGAAGAAGGGAGCGATTGTGCATTCGTACCTGTCAACGTTGTATTGACAGTACAGCACCATTCAACACAAGGCAGTTGTCGCACTGTTTTACAGCGACAATGTGCGCTGGGGACATGAAGCAATCACCTCAAACCCACCTCCGATACACGTAGAGTTGCAATGGAATGACACAACCGGAAGTGTTGGTTTGAAAGCGGCACAGCGAATGAGCCCGCTCAGAGCTCTGATCTGCGTGTGCCGTAAGCACGTGTTGATGGCACACTGTACACGAAACGTCCTCACGCTGCGGTCAGTCGCCGTTCTGCAGTATTAAGAAGCAACCATTGCAACCTCATAGTCAATCTTGAGGAACCAGTTAAATTGGAGATTAGATATCTGCCAAGCCACGATTAACGACGAGCCATTTTAGTTCCCCGACCTGTTGGCTAGTAGTTCATTGCGCCTAACAACTGGGCAACAGGTTCATTGACGTGTCAATCATATATATAGTTCAAGGTAGAACGTTATAACCGACAAAGACAAAGGAGAATGGAATGGCCATTTCTGGCTTATTAGCCATCGTCAACCAGTAATGCCCAACCTCGAGGTGTAGAACACCTGGGGCTCGAACTAGCAAACTGTAAGTTAGAATTCTAACGCCTCTAGGCACTGAGCCACGGCCTCGTTGTATATACCCGATCGCAACCGACAGGGAAACGAGCCCTTGGCTCAGTGCTGAGAAGTGTTAGCCTTCTAACAAACAGGTCGCGAATACGAGCCCCGGGTGTTCCACAATTCTGGGTTGGATGCGACTGACTGACGACGGCTAATAAGCCAGAAATGACCATTTCAGTCTACCATGTTTTTGTCGGTAATAGCATTCTGCCTATATCATGCGCTGCTGTGCGGCTGCTGGTTGGGCTCGAGAGAGAGAGCCTGTAAGGCCCAACGGAACGAGTGAGTTCCGTATGAACGATCGGTGAGCGTCCCCTACCATTGTATATTCCCGATCAAATACCGACAGGGCAACGTGCTCGTGGCGCAGTGGTTAGAGGCGTGGGCTTCTAACAAACAGGTCGCGATTTCGAGCCTCGGGTGTGCCACACTTCGGTGAGCGTCCCTCTACCATAGTCTGAAATATAGGAGCCAGTTTGTGCGAATGATGTGTGGAGCACGGAATGGTTTGTGGTAGACACAAGCATAAGATTGGTTCACACGTACCGCTAAACCTAAAGGAGCCCATCCGCAAATCAAAGGCGAAGAGGACTTCCTGCGGCCAGGGTCGCAGACGCAAACTCTGGATGATTGAATGAATTTCACGACATCGAATTTTGTATAACAGGGGACGGTGAGCCAATAAATCATGATAGAAAATATAAACGTAAAAACGTACACTAAATCTATCTATGAATTACGATAACAACTGCAGGTAAATCAGCCATAACGCCAAATTCGAATTAAAGTAAGCAGGCCTTACTGACAAGGACACCACTGTCGTCAAAACCATCGCCAGCTTTTGTGGAATTACTTGGGAAGCATTACCCCGTTTGTCCACGCACCGTGCTTCGCGGTGAAAAAAGGGTTTCGCCTGCACAAATATGCAATAACCTAGCCATACGAATCTCACAATTCTTTTGCTTTGATCAGGGCGACTGTGTGGTTATCGACCTATTTGAGGCGGATCTCACTGTATGCTGAAGGACGCATGCCATATCCTTAACTTTCTTAATAACAACAAATTCGTAATGTGTTAACAGTACGTGGACGCTTCCTGGGCTTTCACTGACAAATATACTGACCGGGCCGACAGAACCGTGCTCAAATGCATGCATACGGAGCTAGGCGTAGATCCAGGATGACCCGTCAGAAGTGACCGGGATCAAATGCCACTGAGATAAATTAGAAAACCTTGTTGGCATAATAAATTCCCCCATCACCGCCGCCGCCGCCACAACCATTTAAAGAATATCTATGAATGGTAGGGGACGCTTACCGATTGTTGTTACGGAACTCACTCGTTCCGTTGTGCCTTACGGGCTCTCTCTGGAGCACAACCAGCAGCCGCACAGCAGCGCATGATATATAGGCAGAATGGTATTACCGACAAGGACAAGGGAGACTGGAACGGTCATTTCGTCAGCCAATCAGACCCAACCCCCCATGGGTGGAACTCCCGAGGCTCGAACACGCGACCTGTTAGTTGGGAGTCCACACCTCTAACCGGGCTCTAAACGTGCTCGCGTCCCAGTATTTAGAAGCGTGGACTTCTAACTAATAGGTCGGGAGTTCGAACCTCGGGTTTTCCACACCTCGGGTTGGGTATGACAGGCTGACGATGGCTAATAAGCCAGAAATGGCCATTCCAGTCTCCCTTATCCTTGACGGTAATGTCATACTGCCTACATCTATAAATATTAAGCCGAACAAGATAATGCACACAAATTTTAAAAAAATTAAAAACAAACCTCGCGCATCCAGGTAGCTCGAATGGTCTCCCGATGGTCTCGGTGGCCCACTGCCGACTTGACAAGAACAACGGCTGGAAGCGTCTCTTTTCCATTATGCCACGCATGCGCACAAATATCCCTGACTGTGTGTAGGTAACGAAAGTTTGGATGGAAAGAGACCGGAATCTGCTGCGGTGCCAGACTCTCAATCTCCCGCCGATAGGTGATGGGGCCTTCAGAGTCACGATATAGCGACACAGCCTCCTGAAAGGGCGCGGCCACCAACATCTCGAATACCCCAAGAACACAGAGACCGACAAGAGTGAAAATGGTCAGTATTACGGCGCAGATATACAGGGAGCTAGGGTGGAGTTCCACCCGAACTCGCAGCCAGCGCAGTGTGAACAGGGGAGTTCGCGCTATGCGTCCCATCCGCTCATATCGGTAGAAACAACTCGCCACTTAAATGCGCAACGCCGGGGCAGCACGTCTAGACATGACACAGAGGGTCACACGTCATTCGTTGTCTGGCGCCAATCAACGGCCTGGCAGAAATGCACCAATGACAGCACAGGTCACGCAACTGCGGTCTACGCGATCGTGCCTTGGTGGCCCAAGGTAAACGGCGAACTGAAAAGGCACAACTTCAGGTCAGATAGAGCAGCGTCGCCCAGCACAATTTCGCGGGACATCCTGCAGCTTGCCCAAGAATCCTTAGCTGACGTAATTCAACCAACGACAATCTTTTTGTAAAATTTCGTTTTTTTTACCTCTATCTTTTGGGCGACAACTATCACCAGGACTCTTACTGCTTCCACTTATATGAGTACTGCCACTTCCTATTACCCTGCCACGTAAAGCATCCGCTTTTAATTATATCTTGCCCTTGTGCAAAAGTTTAGATTTCTGAACGCTTAATCTACTTAGCGTAACTATTCAGTTCGTCTGGGAATTTGCAAAGAACTGCCTACTGCGATGTCCCTACATAGATTATATTAAGACAAGAACTAATTAGCAAACATACAAGTTAAGGGTTTAGCATATTTTGGATTATGACTTGGTGTGCAGTTATGCATGGCAAACACTCATGATTTGCAGCTATAGGACGGCAGTTTAAACACCCACAACATTAGCAATGATGATGTCTTGACATACAGATCATACAAACGCCTGGGACAACGTCTTGGGGAGTTGGTTTTTCTGCTGCTGGTTCGGTGAGACGCGTGGTTGATTATCCGTCATATCGCTCTATGTGAATGGCTATCAAATCCAAGGGCGCTGGTTCAACAAACCGGAAGACGAATGGAAGTTGATGGGGGTCGAACTCTGTACGACACGCGATGGGCATCTAGCGAGCGCGGTATTCGATACAGAAGCCAGGAAGGCGCTCATGAAGGCGTTAGCAAACTCAGGTTGATGTGTTTAGAGAGTGGTTTTTTAGAAAAAAAAGGGCTATTGTGGGCAACGATAGCGTGTAGGACCCACAATTAATTTGAACTAGCCTGTGGACCGTATCACTCGTTGAATGATTGCAAAGGGGGTTTGCGGATGAAACAACAAACAGGACGGATAGCAAGAAGACACATAAAAAAGATAAATTTCTGTCGAACGACTTGGCGTACGCCGTCATTTGGCAAAATGAGTGCGATAAGTAAAAAATGAAGAAAAAGCGATCATTGAAAATTAACGGACTTTATATAAAGCGCCGATGATACGTTTGAAGCATTTTGTCCCCGGTACGAAGCTGAAGTAGACAAGAACGGCAGGATTTATTGGCACCAAAAAATTTCGCAACTGCTCTTCAGCTGCTTCCTGTCGCTTCATAAGAGGGATAACGAGTGAGAACAATACAACAGATTTGAATTCATGCAGAAAATCGATGCAGAAACAGCAAGGTTAGGGTTTTGGGCAAAGTTGGCTAATCGATAAAGTTAGTAACACAAACGCCGTAGGGGAAGAAAGTAAAAAAAGGAGGAAACGTTAAAGAGCAAAAATGAGAGGAGAGAGGGGGGAATCATGGAGCCAGAGGCTACCATGGTAATGTTAGGTTAACCACGTGCTCCAGTTGTTTACAAAGATCTGGTTTCACTCGTCGTATATAGGCTGCCTCCAGGTAACGCAATGTCCGAGTTGTTCGTGCCCGAACAAGTACTCGGAAGGAAGTTTTGGGGTCGACGGTGTGACCAGTATCAAGTAGGTGTTTCGTAATGGATGAACGCGGGATCCTTAGACAAGAAAATAAGATACCGCGTTCATCCATTACGAAACACCTACTTGATACTGGTCACACCGTCGACCCCAAAACTTCCTTCCGAGTACTTGTTCGGGCACGAACAACTCGGACATTGCGTTACCTGGAGGCAGCCTATATACGACGAGTGAAACCAGATCTTTGTAAACAACTGGAGCACGTGGTTAACCTAACATTACCATGGTAGCCTCTGGCTCCATGATTCCCCCCCTCTCTCCTCTCATTTTTGCTCTTTAACGTTTCCTCCTTTTTTCACTTTCTTCCCCTACGGCGTTTGTGTTACTAACTTTATCGATTAGCCAACTTTGCCCAAAACCCTAACCTTGCTGTTTCTGCATCGATTTTCTGCATGAATTCAAATCTGTTGTATTGTTCTCACTCGTTATCCCTCTTATGAAGCGACAGGAAGCAGCTGAAGAGCAGTCGCGAAATTTTTGGTGCCAATAAATCCTGCCGTTCTTGCCTACTTCAGATGATACGTTTATATTTACTCAGGAAGGAAGAAAATTTCAAGCCACGCGAACGGTGAATAATATGTGATCTTCACAGTCACACTGAATTCTAGGGAATTTTCAGAGTTGTCATTTGCTCGGGGTCCTACACCCTATCATCACCATTATGTGCCACAGTGGACAAACGTTTTCAAGGTTTACTAGACTTTTTTGGAAATTGTAAAATTTCACTAGTCGCAAGGGAATAATTTGAAATCGCTGACCTCAAATAATCTCGAACCGGAGATTTATCTAGCCAACCACCTCGGAATTTATGTAAATCAGATTAGGTGCATAGTGGTAGTTTCCGTGTACTTGCGTTTTTGCCTGTTGTCACGACAAAATGCTCAATACAGCACGCTAGCAGTTACAGCTAGACTTATGATAGTGAAATGCACCAGAAAGGTGGATGGATGTGAACCACTCCCAATCAAGAATCATAGGATGAATGTCCTCTGATGCTCTGGTCGTGAATGCTGACGGTGGGATTTAATCAGTCTCCCTGTTTCATCTTGGCCCGGGTCACCCCTCTTCAGGATTGTCTACGATAAACAATGCCTGCATTGTGAAGTAATTTATGGTGAGGCGGACCTACGTAGTATTTACCGTACTCCCTCTTGGTCCCTCACCCCTCACCCACTTTGCCCTGGTGGCGAGACAATTGGAAGTCGATCATAGGTGGGCGATGGCTCAGTAGCTGACAAATCTGAACATGTCCCCGCCAAGCACGACGTGGTCCCATCTACATGCACCAAAGTTTTGGGGGTGGGGGGGAGGGGGATCGGACCTTCCACGCGCTAAGGTGCCAATTTAGGTTTCTTCAGTCACTTGAAGATACTCCCGTGGGGATCCAATTATGCGGTCAGTTGGCAAGTCGCCAAGGCAATATTATTAACGCGTCGTGATAAATTCAGACGCATCAGATTTTTCAGGTTGACGGAGGCACTGAAGTGCCTTGGCGATGGATTCCACAACGTCGACCTAAATTTCTCCTCCCACTCGCATATGCCAGTCGACTGGCGGAGCTTTTCAGTTTACTATTAATGGAATGACTGCAATAAAAACCACCTTGGTGGACCAGCGAACCACTTTGAAGCCTCTAAATACAGGAATGAGACTGGCTGCGAAACACCGCATGGGGAAATTGGAGGATACTAGCATGACTTTGGCTGGCAGGAGACTTAATGCTTCAAGTTTCGCCAAGAACTGCGTTGACGGACTGATTGCAGTGTCTGAATCTGCGATTACTCATTTAAGACATCAAAATAGCCAAATTTTGCTGCCCGTCAGCCGAAAAAAGCGCTCCATTATCGCTCTTCTAGAAGACCCTCGAGTTGAACCAGGGCTCTCGTGATGTATTGGCCGATTGTCGATGTTTTATTCGAATTCTCTAATGACAACAAATTAGCTGGCATTTTGCGCATCGGAGTTTGTTTCGCTGTTAGTTCCGTACGGGACAGAGAAGTGACAATCTATCAAAAATCATTTGGCCTGTCCGCTCTTGACCCTCATCTAAGACTGCCTCGGTAAAATATCCTCTGGAGACGGCTCACTGGCATTACGGCGGTCTTGGTTACATCAATTATCATCACCTGCACCTCCCAAGACAATAAATTCAAATGGGGAATGTTTTTTATACCATACCGAATTTTGATGACTTCCAAATTGCGATTCCGCCGACTGATCTCAGTCCTTCCTCTGATACCATGACAATCATTCTCGACAGTTTCGCGTACGTTCCCTTAAAAGCCCTCTAGCTAAATGGAGTATCATAAAGTAAATTCTGCAAAGAGCAAAAGCAAAAATAGTTGAGAAAGCGCGAAGTCTTCAATGAGACTGGGGAACGGCGAACTAAGGACGGGAGGGACCAGCAGCTTTTTTGCTCTTCAGATTCTTCTCCATGCAGAAGCGCAGTAAATGAGAAAGAATACTGTGAGGACGCAAGAGACGTCTACGTCCTCATTTTTCAAAGGTTTTTCCTATTTTGAAAAATAGGAATATGACTGGTTCATTTACCACTACGCGAATTAAGAAAATGCCCTCCTGAAGATGGAAAAATACACGCCATCGATTTCCGGAACTGTGTGCTTCTCAAAACGTCGTGCGTTGAGTAGGAATTTCCATAAATGCCGGTCTCATTTAGCAGGAGACATGTGCCCATACGAAAAAAAATGTTAGGAAATTTTTGTCCTTTGCAGGTTCGTTTCATCTAATATTTTTGCGTTGTCATTCCGGTAAGAATAAAATTAGCTGTTGGTGAACGGCCGTAGCAAACGGATAATAGTGTATTTTTCAGTTTTCCTACAGGTTTTTGACTTTTTTCCTGAGTTTCGTTTGTGTACATAACACTGTTAAAATAATCACTTATTGATATCGGCTTCGTTGCTGTAAAAATCTCCATCCCCTGTGCAGTGCAAATGTGCGATTTCTAAATTCAAGTGTCGGCTGCCAGATTTACAATTTTGATCAGGATAATTGATATTAATGGAAAGCAACCACTCACCGCCCGAAATCAATGCTTACATGATTGGTACTCGCGATTGCGG